TTTGCAGGGTATTTTTTTACTAAATTTTGGAAAATATTTCTATTTCTTTCTACAATTGAATCCCAGAAGAGAGAGAGAGAGAGAGAGAGAGAGAGAGAGAGAGAGAGAGAGAGAGAGAGAGAGAGAGAAAGAGAGAGAGAGAAGAGAGAGAGAGAAGAGAGAGAGAGAGAGAAAGAGAGGGGGTTGAAGATGGTGGTAGTCGTTCAAACATCAAGGGGTACAAGGAAACAAACACATAGACAAACACACAAAAACAACAACAACAACAATAACAACACAAACACCCTCCCCCCTCCCACGCACACAAACATGGGCCTACATAGTTGCATCCATGCATACAACCTATAGATAGATAGGTAGATAGATAGATAGATAGATAGATAGATAGATAGATAGATAGATAGATAGATAGATAAGTAGACAGATAGATAGATAGATAGATGGATAGATAGACAGATAGATAGGGGGACAGACACAGAGAGAAAGATAGAAAAGAGAGGATGAAGGAATAAAGCAAAAGAAAAAGCACCCGTTTGATGGTGAAGGCCCCTTTTTCAGGGAGCAAAACGAAAGAAAACGTGATGGCTACAATCCATCATTGATTCCCACTTTTTGAACCGCATGAGATATTCTAATGATTTTGTTTTGAGATTTAAAAAACAACAACAACCTTGTTTACTTGTTAGTGTACGGACATTGTTCTTTGGTATTTGGTTGGATATGTTTTATCCCCCCCCGCCCTACGCACACACTTTTTCATAAATATCATAAATAGGCTGGTTGGTTTGGTTTGGTTTGGTTTTGAAGTAGGGTTTCTTTTTTTAGCTTTATCAGTGCTTGCAGAAGCTGCGAGCTATCGACTCTAGGCCAATGATAACATTTATTACAGATCTAATCTGTACACATGTAGCGTGAATGTTGTATTTATAATGTAACTAGTGACACATAATCTATGGGTTTTTTTAAAGCACTGAGCCCCACCAGGTGTGCAAACGATACGATTTCGTTAGAATTCAAAGTTTTCCTTAGATATGTTTCAATATCACTGTCTCCCCGATACGCTCAAATGTTATACGTTTATCTGAGGTCAAAAGATGCTCTAGTGTGCAAATCGAACCTTTTCATTTCGACAAAGATATTAGGTACACAGCCCTTTAGACAGGGCTCTATCTTTTGCATATTTGCGAGACAGAAGGATCACAGGTTATTATTAAGAGAAGTGTCTCTACGTTGTCATAATTATGACAATAGTGCTTACGAACTTGGATTCGATGACGGACATTCTATGTGCTTTGAAAAACAAAAACAAACACAAACAAAAACGAAAACAATATAAAAACAAAACCATCCCCCCCCTAAAAAAACCCTTAAAAACACGCGGCATTAAAAGGCCTACTTTTATGTTAAAATCTTAGACAATACGTTACTTCTCTCTTTCTTTCCTCATGCTCTTTTTGTTACTGATTGATATATTGAGTAAATAACTAAAACAGGCAAGTTTGCCTGATTGATTAATTGGTTTCTAATGAGACTCGACGTTATAAATACAATATACATCTTTCAAGAGGCGAACTACTTCGACCATGTCTGTTTGGATCAATCTAGGTTGACAAGGATGCAGCATCCCAACAATATAAACATTTCTCGATGACATAGACTTCTCAACTTAGGAATCGAACTCCCGTTTTTATGTGGACTGGTGAAGATCCTAATCATTAAACCAGGTGATACACTTGTATCTTGTTGTTGTTGTTGTTGTTGTTGATGATGATGATGATGATGATGATGTTGTTGTTGTTGTTATTGCTTTTGTTGCTGTTGTCGTCGTCGTTCTTGAGTTTTAGTTTGAGCCGATTCAACACGATAACGCAGAATGTCACCTAGAACGGATCATGGTGATAATGAAACCGAAAGAAACAAAAGGAGCAGACTACATCAGAGTATTTTTCTAAAAACCCAGCTTAACTACAGTCTAGCACGCATATAACAAATCGCCTGGATGGGAAAATTTTTCAGTAAGTACAAACTTTGCTTCTTTTGTTTTAAATACAAAGAATTTACATTTTGTGAGAACCATAGTCCACAGTGACCTGCAAATCTGTTAGGTACGATGTTTGTGTTTGAGAATATAGCACCGCCGCATAGATTAATTTGTGAGAAATGATTTTATCATTATTACTTTCATCAATGCAGGTGTTTTATGTCCCTATTGACACAATTTGATTCATTAGAAAGGCGGGCTGTGGAGAGCACAACGTTCCAGAAGAAAGATGATGGAGAAACACGTAAAAATGTTCTCCACACGACAAGCGAACTTAGGTCTTCTTCATGCGACGGTAGAAACTAGTATACATTTGATGAAACTATCAATTCATTATCTTATCAAAAGAAACAATTGAAAATCTATGCAATGGAAAAGACCTTCATGTTTCTAAAAAATTTATTCAGCGCATTCAAACTCAGTCTCTTGGAGACATGTTATAGATGATATGGTTGTGAAATAATATTTTTATTTCAGCAGTACCACACTCACGGATAGTTTCTAACCCCCCCCCCCCCCACACCTGATAATTAGAGCTGGGGGAATGTTAACTGATCTTTTGATTGACGTTTGACAATGATATCACTGATTATCTCAGAGAGAGAGAACGCGACACCAAGAGGGTGTATGTCAGAATATGATATGCTTTATGTGATAACGAGGACCGGTCTAAAGTCACGGACGCACAGAGATACCCAGTGTATAATACTTTATTTTTATGGGGTCAAATTGTGTGACGAGGACGTCCCTTCCACAGAAAAAAGATATATTCGTATATCCGGGGAAATAGAATTAGGAAAGAAACAGAACGTATGCTGCCCTTTACTAGAGAGAAAAGAGCCGTTCTACACTCTGTTTCAGTAAATGTTTTACGGCACTTGCTACACAGTTAGATCCTACAGTATTGAAGATTAGAGGCGTAACAAGGGAGTAGCAAACAAAAAAAGGAAGGAGGAGAGATAAGGATGATAGATATTTAATAGGGAAGAAAGAACACACTTCAACAGAGCACCCACCAACCATCCGCAGTCCTACACTTTAGGAACTAACGAAATAGCGCACCCTTAGCTTAGCAGAATAATTTTAAAAATGTTCTCCTTTCACCTCTCTAGTCATGTTCTGTCGTCTACCTTTGTCTTCTCTTTTTGGGGGCTCCCCCCCCCCCGCCGGCATCGCTGACTGTTTCTGCTGCCTTTTTATTGCTACTACTTGGCTCTTTCATACTACTGTTTTTCAGCTATACCTCTCATTTTGGGGTAGGTAAGATCGAACAACTAGCCTTCTCGGATAAGGGCGAAAAAAACTTGGAGGTCCCGTGTGCAAGTCGTGCAAGTTAAAGATCACTTGATAGTCCTAGAATCGATAAAGGTAGGCTCTGGCCGCCACCCAGGCAGAGTTAATTATTACCAAAATGCTTAATGTGTTCCGCGCGCTCAAATGACCTTATGCAGTTGCGAGCACCGCAAAGCACTAACAAAAAAACATACAAAAAACATGAAGTTTAGCTGGTACATTGAAACACTGTTTATTCCTCTGAGACCTTAACCACTAGGTCACAGACATGAATCCGATTATCCAGGTGGTAGTTTTGGCTGTTTAGGAATTTCGAAATCTCTCAGTGTGGCCCGTGGTGACATCAGGCGTTCGTCAACATACGGAAACCGAAGAAGCTGGCCACTTTTCTGACCTTCGAGAATATAAAAAAATGAAGTTATTATTTGTTTGTTTGTTTGTTTGTTTGTTTGTTTGTTCGTTGGTTGTTATTATATTTTTTAAAGGGGGGGGGGGGTGTTGGCTCAGAACTTTTCAGGTCCATTAAATGCATTTCTATGTGGATTTTACCGAAAACGTTGCGCAAAGGCAAACAAAATATTAAGTTGCAGTTTTTGTCTCTCAAGCTTTGGAAGTCACCAACCTTTGGCGGCCATTTTCTCGATCATTTACCTTAACATATTATGCTACCAGGCGACCCTTACCTCACCCTACATGCAAAAGAAAAGCAAGTGTCGTAAATCATCACAATCTATGTTACTGTTTGATTATCTTGAATAATATAATAATATGTTAAACAAGCCTCTGTGGTGGAAAGGCCAGTCTCTTTGCTCTATAAGCGAAGAGCATGGGTTTCATTGCTACGTGAGGAAGACAAGATCTGTGCATTCAGTCAGGAAGACCTTTACATTCAGTATTCCAGTTTTTCCTAGAGGGATATACATGTACACCACAAAGCTGACTCTTTTTTTTGGTAAGTGTTTTACGGCGCTCGCAACTGCATAAGGTCATATGAACGCGCGGGACACATTAAACGTTTTCAGTTGGTAGGAAATTTTGAATTTTGCCTGGGTGGCGGCCAAAGCCTACTCTTATAGATTTTAACGTGCTCAACATGCACACGGGCCCTCCGAGATTTTTCACCCTTGTCCAAGAAGGCTAGGTGTACATTTTCCTACCAGACGATCATGGGTGTGGCTGAAAGATATCAGAAAGAATGATGGAAGGAGTAGCAGTAGAAAGGCTGTAGAAAGTCAGGAGCTTAGAGGAGGGGGCCAAGGAGGTGAGGGGGTGGGAGCAGAAAGAGAAGATGAAAGCAGACGACTGAATATTGCCAGAGAGCAGGAAAGGAGGAGAAAGGAGACAATTTAAGAAAGAACATTTTTCGATCGCTACCCGGATTCGAACCCGGGACCTTCGAATGAGAGGCCAACACCTTAACCTCTAGGCCACGAGAGCCTCCCAAAGCTGACTCTGACAATAAGGACTGAAGCATCCCATCTCCTAAAAATTCTAAATTGTATCAAAAGGATCATAATAAGACATTTACACCAACTCACAACTTCGTGATACGTTTTGACATTTTATTGCTTCTGGAGAGATATTTCCGACCTTTCCACCACCTGACCGTTTCCCCACTTCTGTGGTGTAGAGCAGTTATCAAGAAAACCCAACCAGCAACTGTAATAAGTCATTGTCAGGTTGGCGCTTCTCGAGTGTGAGTCGCTACTCCTCCGCCAACAGACGAACGACGTGGCGAGGTTCCAAAACCTACCGAGAGCAAGTTGCTAACGACGACGGCGACGACGACGAAGGCGTAAACGATGCCTGGCCTTCAGGCCAACGGCTCTTCCGGGGCTCTGTCATGTCCGATCTGCTCAGCCAGGTGCGCCTAATTGTGAACAATTTCGTCAGCCAGTTTTTCAGATGTATTAAGCCCAAAATTTGAAACTTTTCTTCCGTTAATTGCACTTTCTTATTCTATGGTATCGGTTACATAATAAGCTCAGAAAATAATTTGTCCAAAATCGAAATCTAAATGTTGACAAAAGCTAGGAGGCGCATACACCCGCACGTATTTACTGTAGTAGTCCAAATGTCCCACAAAGCAATGAACACTAGTCGCATTTTTCTTTTTCTTTTCTTTCTTTTCTTTTTCTCTCTATATAATGTAGGCACGGCCCTTGAATGTTTTTATATCTCTTGAATAATTTTGCTTTTAGGGCTTAGTACACTTGAAAAGCTTGATGCCGATATGTCCTATATGAACATTGGCATTAGTTCATCTTATACATTTTAAGTTAGACCCCCCCCCCCTCCACACCCTAAAAGAATGGCTCTATTTTCCTTATTGTAAATATTTATTATGTGATTTTTTGTAAAACAGCCGAATTAAGTTATGTACATGTTTTTACTCATTATATCACTGTCTTCCTCGTCCTGCACAGAGGGTAAAATTCAAGAGAACGTCCCTCACTTGACCCGATACGCGTATCCAGAGGCAATCTCTCTCTGTACACATTTTGGGTCTCTATTATTAATCCCTCCCTCGTTAGTTACCAAGGTAATTTCTAACGACATTGGACAAGACGGTTTTTAATCATCATCATCATCCAGTGCCAGATCTGCGACAGACATCGTCGATAATGCTTTTCCATTCATTCCTTTGCTCGGATGCTCTCAGAAAAGCTACGTTTCCCTGATCTTTCTCTGTTACCCACTTGTTTAGGTTCCCTAGTATGTTGTTCTGGGCCTACCCCTGCCTCGCTTGCCCTCAATTTTGCCAGTGAGAGCTAGATGTTCAAGACCCTTATGTCTATTCAGGTGTCCCAAAAACTGCATTTGTCGTTTCCTGATTGTTTTTAATGCTAAGCCTAATTGTGTGTAATTTTCCGGGCCGAGAGGTTCAGGGAGTATCCCCCCCCCCCTCAACTTCTGAGGTACAAAAATTACCATGCCCCCCCCCCCCACAACCTATTCCCCCCATAAGTTGATGTTTTGCATCAAATAGTTTCGATATTGTCTTGAAAAGGATCGATTAACAGCGGTTTTTGTAACCGTTTGTGTGATCTGCTGAACACTCTACAGCTGTTTGACCCCCCAAAGGATCGATTAACAGCGGTTTTTGTAACCGTTTGTGTGATCTGCTGAACACTCTACAGCTGTTTGACCCCCCAAAGGATCGATTAACAGCGGTTTTTGTAACCGTTTGTGTGATCTGCTGAACACTACAGCTGTTTGATCCCCCAAAAGCGGGACATCTATGTGCCGGAGTGAAGATAAAGTTTACCGGCCTTCCTTGTTCCTAGATATTTGTACGTGGGAGGGACAGAGGAACAACGGGACTGCATGCGCAGAGCACGGCTTTTCGATGAGGGACGTTCTCTTGACGTATAAGCCACGAACAGACACGTACTGCCTTTTCCAACCCTGGACTAGCTTTTTGATAGTATTAAATGTCTTACCACTTTTCTGCACATCATTCCCTGTGACTCTTCTCTATTTTTCCATGGCATCCACCTTGATCTCTTACCCTGTGGATTCCAAACATTTTTTAAACACTTTCTTTATTAAGCAGCTGCCTGACTTTATGTGGGTATGCTCAATTCATCGCCACCGCCTTTTGTCCTTTTCATCTCTGACTGGGCTGTCTTGTTCTCCTTATCCGTCCGTCTGGTCCTGAGTGACTTTCTCATACACAATAATGTATGCATTTACTGTATCCCAATTTCCACGAACGGGAATAAATTATGGTGAAACTTTACTTGTCTTTCTTTAAATGTTCTTATCTCTTCTTTCTCTTCTCTTCCCCTTCGATATCTAGACATCTGCCAAGCAGAGGGAGCCTCCAGAATGGAATCTACTCGTGCACGTGCGAGAATTGTGGGCATTTCTTCAAGTTCAGGGCCGTTGGTGACGTCAAGAATGACATCACAATCACCATAAATGGAACGGCGTACAAAGGTAGTATATTATGCCCAGGACGGTGTTATGCAGAAGTCGTCATTGCTGTTTCCGTCTCACTTGTTTGTTTTTAGTTGTTGTTTTTTCTATTGTAGACAATGTGTTCCATACCAATACTTGCCAGTGCATAAAACATAAACCGTCACGCTTACGCGCATTTTTCTCCCCCTCCCCCCCTCTCTCTCTCTCTCTCTCTCTTTCT